ACTGTTTAGGTGCGACTGGTACTCGATACTTTTCAAAATGAGTATTGTATCCGAATACAACATTTCAGTATCGATACTTTTTTGAGTATCGATACTTTTGACAACCCTAATATATATATATATATATATATATATATATATATATATATATATATATATATATATATATATATATATATACAGGCACACTTCCTCTTCAGGATGAGTGGATTTCTATTAACATTTCATTAATATATTTTTCAAATGGTAAATTTGGGTTTAAATCATGTTGCATTGTTTATGACGAAACGAAGCTGGGATTAGAGGAGTCTTCAGCTTCAAATACTGTAAGACCTTCCGGAAACAACACTGCCGTATGCAGTTCATTCATGTTAAGCATACATAAGAAAGCGTAAAAGAAATATTGGTAAGGTAACCTCATTAATTGCTTGCTTCTCAAAAATTACAGTAAGTTAGGCATGCAGCATGTCAGATTTTCCTTAATCCTCCAAACTGTTGCTATATATTGTTATTGGGCTCCTAACTGACCATGTGATTAAAAAGCCCCCCTGATTCTCATACCTCAGTGTAGCCGATCTTCAGCATACCTCTCTTAAACTTCAACATGTTGTTCTATTTGACAAAATGAAGTCTTCATTGTTTAAATGAGCTTTCTGACGAATAATGGCTGCTGTGGGTGTAATGTGTAAATGAGGTTTTGACATCCTGTAAAACACAATGAACAGCAGGCATCTTGTGGTAAGAAGATGTAAAACCATATGTCCGTTTCATAAAGGTTTATTAACATCCTTACTTTCCTTTTGTTTTATTTTATTAAATGTGAACACAGATTTTTATTTTTTTCCTTTGGGGAAAGATTTAGCAGGAGAAGGAAGTAAAGCACCTTTCTGCTTTTCATGCAACTAACTTTGTTTACTTTTCTGCATTGTCCTGAAATTGGTGATGGGGTAGCTCAAATTAGCTGTGACTGTCTAGCAGAGGTTGTATATATATAAAAAAAAAGCAATGTTCTATTCTGATTATATTTGTACTTATTGGCTCGTCTCAGTGATATGGTGTAAATTCTTCCTCAGTGAAAGTGGTTTTAGAGGTGCAGCAGTTTCTCTTCAATTTGTTGGACATCTGTAACAATAAACTCTTATTTTAAAGCCTTAAAAAAAAACAAAGCAGAAGCATTGTTTAGCAGGTTTTAAAAGTTTGCTGGCACTTTGTCTTATTCCTTTTATGTGAGCAGGTGTTTGCATACATAAAAGGAACACGTTTGTGTGGACATTGCAGAAACTAAAGTATCCCTGACTTACGATCACATTTACATCACATATTTCATTTTTAGTATGAAAAACTATGGAAAATCAATGAATAGAGTTTTCTTGGCGTTGTCACAAAACATGCATGGATGTTTTTCCCTCGGAATACACAACGCTCCTGTTGAATATTGAGCTGGAAAATTAATATGAATATGTTAATTATGTGAAGAAGAAAAAAAGTGGTTTTTTTTTTTTTTTTTTTCGTTTTTTAGTGAGTGAGCAGACCTCTTACCAACTGTCACATGGGCCAAAATCATCCCAGCACTGCAAAACAATCAGCTTAAAAAAGCACAATGTAAAAAAAAAATAAGAGTGACTATAACAGGAAATTGTTTAGAAATCTGTAGTATTACCTTTCCTTCTACTTCAACTGTTTGACTCACTTCCATCTGCTGTTCTGATTTCCATTAGGGTGACGGCCATTGGTATAAAAAAAAAAAAAAAAACATGATTCCTGCACCATTTTCATTTGTTAGGGCGCTGGGCTGCCCTGAGCAGGGACAGCATTCTGGAACACGCAGAATAATTATATGGCACCAAAAGTACTTTATTTTTTTTTTCATGTGAACTTGTTCAACAGGCTTGATGCAAAGTCTTTAAAAATGTCTTTCGAGACCTCTTAGAGTTTTAAGGAACCCTGTGGAGGTTTTGATCTCTCGCAGAGTAATGAAATTGTGTTTTACATAAGAACTGGGTCTTTTGAACAGTTGGAGAGTATTAACCATTAATGAAATCAACCTTTATGGCAACCATCTTGCTCTAAATTTCCCTTTGTAACATTAGCACATTACTTGGACCATACTACTCTACTATAGGGAGTGGTGGTCTAGTGGTTAGGGCATAGACCTTCAAATCCTGAGGTTCTGAGTTCGAGCCCCACTCCCACTGACTTTTACACTCTGGCTCTCTGAGCAAGACCCTTAACCCCATACACACAATGGCAGCCCACTGCTCCCCAAGGGGATGGGTTAAATGCAGAGGTAAATTTCTCCAATGTGAGATAAATAATGTTCAATACCGGTATATTATTTTTTTTATTGCACACCCACTTTACAAATTAAAATTCTCCATTTGTATACTACGTTAAAAAAGGTCTAAATCAATATCAGGTCCAAACATCTTACTTGGTCACTACTGTGCTCAATATGGAGTTCACCAAAACAAACTTAAGTCTAATGACGGAGCCAAATGTAAAAATCTACAGAGGCAGAGAGTTTAGTGCAATACAACTGGATTGAAACAGACAGGATTAATAGTTTTGGTTTTAGAAATGCCAAATTTGTTGATAGGCAATGGTAAATGTAGCTACAGTTGTGATTCTATAAAAAAAATGGTTGACAAAAGTTCATACTTTAATAATTTGAAGGAATAAAACTTAGAAAAGTATTGGTCTCCTTAATTTTATGCATTCTCTAGGTTTTATTCCTTCAATAGAAAGCTGATACAGGATGCTTAGTTATGCCGTTTTAAAACCAGTTATGCATTTTCGATATTAATTAAAGTTCTAATTTGCTGGACTTCATCATGGATGCGTTTCATCTTTGTTGTGCATTAAGCTGTTTTAATGAAATCTCCACAGGGTGTCTTTGGGATCTCACATTTTCAGAAAGTAAGTGAAAATTTTAAGCCTTATTTGCTGTCCACAAAAAGCTGAAGTACTCTAATAAAAACAAAGCCATATAGCAAGAGTTGGTGTTTACCTGCTGCCTACTGAAAGCCATAAGTTTCAAAGTGTTCAGTGCAGCCCATGTGCTCTAATCAACGGTTTTGAGTTTTTTTAGGTTTAAGCTGATGGTGGTTGAACTGTTAAAAAACTACCAGTACTGGTTCCTGCTGATACATTCCTGAACGTCCCTTCGACTGTGTTCTTTTCTACCCTCCTGCACCTCCTCCTCAGTGCTATGTCATACAGTGAAAGAGTTATGCCGTTGAAGTGTTATAGAACCAATAAGGAGTGATTGTTTGCTGCAGGAAAGACAAACATCTGTTTTTCCTGCTGGTAGCATCAGTGTCTGATATAGTCGAGTGAAACAAAAAGCCAATCAGGAATTTGCCAATCTGTCCTACATTTAGGCCCTAACTCCTCCTTTCTATGGCTGTGTTATTTTCTATCCTATTGAGTGCATGTCAATTGAATGTTCAGTAATATAGTATTAGACCATGCTACTCTTTAATAGGTTTTGTGCATTCCTTACTTTCTAGTATTCCTATGAAGAAAACAGAGACTAAAATGTATTAAATAAATATATGATATGAAAGATGACATACCAGAATGAATTATCACTTTTATGGCAATGTTTGATGAAATATTAATTCTTAATGTATGTTTCAGTAAAACTGCTTTCTCTTCAAGTGTAGAGACTTATTGCAGGGATGCAAGTATGATGTTTGGTCTTCAAAGAATATCTTGTCGAAATTCTAGATGATGTAGAGTGAAACAATTCAATAAAACAATAAAGATGGAAATTGTACTGTTGGGAGTCTTTTTGAATGAGAAATAAATAAGAACTGCCTTTGTTTTCACAATCAGAAAGCTGGCAAAGCTTCTAGTCATCCAGGACATGGCAGCTTCAAAAGATATTTTATACATAAAGAAAATTACAGATCCTGAATTTAAGACATTCACTCCCACACCTTCCAGCTCTCCGTTCCCTCGGCCCGTCTTGTCACAATGGGGAACCGGGTATTTAGTCGCTCTGCTCCCCACCTCTGGAACTCCCTCCCTCCGGATCTCCGTACTCTGGACTCCTTCCCTCTTTTCAAATCCAGACTCAAAACTTTCCTGTTCAGACAGTCTTATCCTATCTAGTTCTTACGCATCACTCCAATATTGTTTTCTTCCTTTTCTTCCTTTGGTTTTATTTTACTTCCTGCTGTTTTGTTTTCTGTGGCATCTTTATGCTTGTACTTTTTAGCTTCCTGTTTTTAATGTTTTTATCTGCCTGTACAGTGTCCTTGGGTGTTGTGATAAGGCGCTTTCAAATAAAATGTATTATTATTATTATTATTAATTATCCGAAACGCTTCCAGAGCCAGCCAATCAGAAGTTCCACATTTTAAGCTGTTTGGGATGATCCAGCCTGCTCATTGGATTCAATTAAATTAATTAATTTTAGTTTACTTATATAGCGCCAATTAACAAAAAAATGTCGTCTCAAGGCACTTTACAGAAACAATTCAATCAGATCATACAGTCAAATTGATTAAAAGTTTTCATCTTAGGGAAACCAGTTGATTGCGTCGACTCATTGACTCAAAGGCAACCCTCACACCAAGCATGCTTTTAGTGACAATGGAGAGGAAAAACTAAATTTTAACAGGAAGAAAGTATCTTTACAGGTGCCAAGCTCTAGTTCTTCAGGGCCAGTGCAACTTTAAAATGTTTCCAAAGTCCAACACACCTGCATCACGTAATTAGGACTTGTTTGCATGAGGTGAAAAGTGTTGCTTCTAAAGCATCAACCCTAAGAACTTAGGTCAATAAACCTTTAATTCACTTTGGGTTTAGAAACAATCAAAAAAAAGGTTAATGATGCATCAGTGGGGATGACTAAAATTCCTTTATTGTCCAAGGAACTCCTTTCCTCTTTCTGATAAAAAAAATAAAATAGTAGAAAAATAGAGTATGAGAATTACCAGGACAGACTTCAACCAGGAATTGATACTGGCAAAGGAAGGCTTAATTGGTGATACTAAGGCTTGAAACTTTTTTAATAAAACGAATAAAACCAGTGCAAAACCACGTCAGTGAGATAACATGGAAAACGATTGAACATTTACGCAACCATGGACACAGCAAAGAAATATTTGTGAACACAGTGTAGCTTCAATTAATAATTTCATATAGAAAATAAATCAAACCTCAACAGCCATTCGTTTCACAGGCTGTATCACAATGTAAAGAAAGCCTCCAACTGTTAGCTGTGAAAGTCTTTGTATTTTTCAGTGTTCAGCTTTTGTTGTATATCCTTATAGCCATAACTGAATAGAAGAGGTGTGAAACAGTTCAAACTTCACAGAAGGAACCCTGAGGAGTCAGAGGGAGGTCAGATCTTTCCAAGAAGCTCCATGACAGCGATCGTGATGCTCTGACCAAAGATGAAGGCTCCACAGATCAGAGTCACAATTCCCCAAATCGTGAGGGCGATGCTGGAGAAACAAACAAATCAAAATAACAGAAAATCAGCAGAAAAAAAAAATTCTGAGTATTACAATGTTTTTCTCATTTTCCTTCTCTTATCTTCTTAATTTTTTTTTTCCATTCTGTTTCATGTTTTTTGCCTTTGCATGCTCTTAAGAGCGGCTTGATTCCTGACATTTATATATGTCTGCATTAAAAAAATTAAATACTGAAAAAACGTAGTGACATTTATCCTTGTGTTTAATGATAGCAAGTTTTCAAAAATTGTCCTAGAGTTGGTTTGTTTTATAAGATTTGATTTAATTTCCCTGCAGATTAATGTATATCCAAGTAATGTATATGTTCCAAGAATCTGGCAATTGCACCTTTTTCAGAGTTGTTCTTTTTCTAGGGGATATACAATGACGTCAATTTACAGGTACGTAAATTTAGAGATCATGAAATGGAAATATTGACGTTTGTAGAAATTGACCCAAAACACAAAACAGAAAGCCTAAAAAAACTGCACAGGATAAACCTATTATTTGATTTGATTATTTCACACTCTGGGCAATAGATGTTAAAGTCATTGGTTGTCTTTCTATACCAGATATGTGCAGGCTCTTTTATTTACTAGTTTTAGCTCTGCTCAAGCTATTCATTCAGGTGTTTTGTGGGTTTGGACATATCTAATCGAATTATGTTGACTTATCAGTGTATAGAAAAAAAAAAAACAGCTGCTCACAGAAAAGAGGAAATTAGATTCATTTGCATCAGTTAAATTCATTAACATTTAAATGGAGCTTGTCCTCACCTGGTCTTGCAGGATACTGGCTCAGACTGCATAGCAAAAATCAAGCAGAGTCCTTTAGAAAAAAAAAAAAACTCACACTTTAACAGATTCAATTCTGTCGCACTTATTTTCACCAATTAACAACTTTAGAGGGAAAATTCAATCAAATCATCCCGATTGGTAATGTTTTTCTATAGGAAAACCAGCTGATTGCATACAGAATGTTAATGAACATGCTTGAATGTTGCGCTCTCTACCTGGGAATATGAAGATGAAAAATGCACTGATCCCTCCAATGACGCTGATAACTTTACTGATGTCTGGTACAAACACAGCGATGAGCAGCGTTGTTGTTATCCACAGGACCGTCAGAACGTACCGACTGCGATTTTCAAACTTCGCCAGCAGCCCCCCACCCCGTCTCCGCCACCAACTCAGCAGGGGGTCCTGAATCACTGATCTGACGTGTTTGAAATGCGATAGAGTCAAACAATCCAACAACACACAGGTACAGCAGAGAGGAGAACAGGCCAACAGGAGCTGCTAATGGACTGGAAAACAATCTCTCTCTGATTTAGAGAATGGCACCAGAGAATAAAGGTGAAATTTTACAGTAAACAGCAGTCATAGAAATAAAATGACTTGTTGAAGACTAGAGGAAATTATTAAATAATAGCAAACAGGTGCTTAAACAGCTATTGGTTACAACCATTGTATACAGAATATCATTCCTACATACACGTCAAACTTTGAGGCGCCACATGCACCCCTTTTGTCAGCTAAGAACAGAAACTGAAGCCATTATTTCTTCTGCTTACAAATGTTGGAAACATAGTCCAACATTTGTGAGAAGTTGATCCTTGGATAACCACACAGAGGAGTGATCTTCAAACATGGGTCATGTTCTCTACTGCTCCACTGCCACTTAGAATTTCCCTCTTAAATTAATAGTGTCTCATCGCCCTGCTGTCCATATGTGTTTCCAGCTGCTAACAGCGTTAAGATAACAGTAAAACTAAACTGGACTTGGTTTTAAAGCAGTATGGCTGACCTGCCCAGCAGCACGATGATAGGATAGATGGTGATGATGGAGACCCCAAACAAAAGCCTGGCAACAAGCATGAGTTTGTCATGGGTGGAGTACGACATTAAGATATCCGGATCCACAGCTTTTCCAAATGTCAGGTATCCATAAGCCCCTAAAGCAGAGAGCGAAGAAAGACACTGCTTATTTCACTGCGGCATAAAAAAAAAATTAGTTCACACTGATGAATCAGAAGGTGGTCTGACCTGTGAGTGAGTAAATAAGGAGGCAAATGACCATTGTGATGACAGAGATGAGAGCCCAGTGAGAGAGCCGCTGGTTCTCCATGCTGCTATAGATAGCAATGGAGGCCTCATGGCACTGCAAGAAAAATACAACAAAGTCCCCTCATGTTAACTAAATGGAAAAACTTCAACATGTCAAAAATCAACTTTTATAGAACAGATAAATTGCCTGTTCATGCCTTCATTCAACAGACCCATTCTTTGAGTTAGAAATAAAGTTTAATTAGCTCTTATACAAACTGTGGTATAAATTTATGATGAAGCATTTTAAATTAATCTCCAGCCTATAATAGAAGACCTCTGATTTAATATGGTGTCAGATCATCTGAAACGCTCCTATTAAATCCCATCGAATGATAAGTCACACCTGCCATGTATTTTAAGATATACAATCTACGTTTTTAAACTCAACCATCATGCATAGCGGAATAATACAAGATAATAAATTATTTTAAAGTATTACTAAGTTATTAAGTTCATTATCATAACGATAGGACCCTGTTTTATGTCAACTACCTGGAACACAGCTTTGTATCCCCCTGGATAGCACTTAGAGTGCAACGTTTAAAACTGTTTTGCTGTTTTTATTTCAGTATTAAGTGGAGAGTTAAATAAAAGCTGATTTGAACAATGTTTTATAGTGAAAGCTTCAGATTCTAGGATTCCTACTCCTGTCCCAGCTGTCATCAGAGGCTTTAAATCTCCCCTTTGTACCGTTCCCCTTCAATCAGGTCCTCATCAGCTCTCTTTTCAAGCCTCTGCACCACAATCATTTACCCTGAGGGAGTGATGGTGTGAGGAGAATTGTATCAATCCAGTTGCACTTTCCTTTGCCTTTATTAAATCCCACCGACAGCAGCTGTCAGGGGTGACAAGGGCAAGTTGGGCAGTTGCACACAAATCAGTCCATGTTCACACTGACAGAATGAGCTCCAAGCTCACACTGTGATATCAAGCATTTACAAAGTTGGCAGAGAGGGTCAACCTGCTAACCTTACACTGCATAGAGACACTCTTCTGATAAAGCCCTAACTTCCAAATCAATTTACAGCAAAGTTCTCAACTATAAAGGCAACTATGATTTTAAAAAGTCAGATTTCCTTATCATACTTCTGAATAAGTTTGTATATCAAATACCTATTTGGTGTAAAAAGATTAAAGCAAGTGTTTCGGCAAACACTGTTTAGAGCCAATAAAAACCTGCAATTACATTCTTTTCAGAACATTTGAACTCAGCAAGACCTTTTTCAATCAAATAGCTGTAAAGTTGAAAGTTGTCCCTATATACAGTAACTGGCAACATTAGTGAATCACAAACAGTCATTTGTTACAGAAGCTGGCTGTCCATACTGCTGAATCCAATTATACTAATGGAAAGTTGAGTGGAAGGAAAAGTCTTGTATAGGAACAGAAGCAACAGGAATATCTACATCAGGGGCTAAGGGGAAAATCGACTGGCTGTTGCTCAACGGTCCAAGTCCTTTTCTGAAATGAAATCAAAATGTTTGTGTTATATTTCAACTTGCCAAATAAAAAGGAGAAAAAAAAGGCTGTTTTTATTTAACCAAACCCAGAATCAGCACAGTAGTCCTACATGACAGTGATGTGCAGGAGTTTTGTCTGAAAGCAAACTGCTGTGTTTGATCCTTCGTTTAAAAAATTATAAATTACAAAATGTGTAATTTCTATTATTTTAAATATGAAATGAAAAATTTTGCTTGCTTTTTTGTTTGTTTGTTTGTTTGTTTTAAAGCTTCACATGATATTAGAAAGAATTGTCCTGATTGATTTCTGGTTTTAAAATCTCACCCTTTGATTGCTTCAGATAAAACAGATTACATTCTATAGGTTAATAGAGATGAGAGAAAGCTCAAGTTGCTGGTTAGTCAGTCATATGATCATATTTATGTTCACTGAATTGCAGAACACATTGCTGCACTGTGAGTAATCCAAAGCCATGCCATGGTGCTGGTGTACTGAAACCATCTTAAATGGTTTATAAGTAAAACAAATGGTTGTCCTTACCTGAAAACCAAAGCAAATCGTTGGAATCACGCTGAACATAGATGCCCAGGAGCTGGTTCTGTGCACACAAAAATTATTCATTTTTTATCTGGCAATTTCTACAGTATAAAAACTGCTCCAAAAAACATTTAGCAATGCTTATCTAATACAGCCATCCGTCACCTTGTACTTGTCCAAGATTAGGATGCAAGATTATCGGGTCAAGGAGGGAAACCCTGTTCAGGTATTAGATCTGCTTGGGGCCCTGCCCTTTCTTATGATGTCATCATATTGCAACACCGCTCAGACAAACTGTATTGAACATGTTTTTTTAGAATCAGATCTCTTTTGGAGTCTCAAATTATTATTATCCATATTTGCTATTATTTTATGTTTCATTGGTGATCAAAAGTAGCCCAAAAGTAGAAAACAATAATTCTCAGTCTTAAATTAAAGTACTGCATTCTAAGACTGAGCTCTGCCATTTAACAAGGTGACAAAAAAGTCTCCGCTTATTTTTATCCTTTTTATTAAGATCTGAGGGGAGGACAAATAGCACATCTTAAAAATGACTTTCGTAGAGATTTTAGCCTCTCAAAACCCACCGGCTCGCCTATTATTTTTGAGAATAAATAAAAAAAGTCATGTTTGAGGTGATGCATCTTTGGCTGTGTTTGACTCACCCAATTTCATGCATATATTCATAAACCATGTGTTAGCTTTCAAATAATGTATCACACATAACTTTTATGACCATTTGGGTATGAAAAACAGGTGAGAATTTCCCAAAATGAGATGGATGGGAGGATGGATTAAGAGTTTAAAAAAAGAAAACTGCAATTATTCTACTTGTAGAAAACAAACTGTTGTTGACACAAAGTTAAAAGTAGTTTAGTTTAATTTGGCTAACTGAGTTAAAAGAGGCTAAGCTGTTAGCTACTCAATTTCACCAAGGGTATCAGGTGGAATATTGTACTTCGGTCAATATTATATAATCATATGCAGTGGTGACTTTTCAATAAAGGATGCTAGTGCACCACCCCATTTAGTGGGGTTTATCTGTCCAAATCACACCTAATCCTAAAATAATTATTTACAAAGACATAGACCACCTTCAAACAACAGGCATTAATGCTTAATTCAGATTTTTTTTATTAAATCAGATTCTTTTGTGTGGTTGTTCATATTACCAAATATATGCAACTTGTATTTGGTGTCCCGCATGGTGCAGTAGAGGACGCAATGACATCACAAGTAGCGAGCGTAATCTGTATTTACAGAAGAAAAGCAATCTTTTCAAGAAGATGAAAAAACAGACTGCTCTCCAAACTATCGTCTGCCATGGTTGTTTTTCTCCCTGCTTCTGCATTGCTAGACGCAGAATAGGGACCTTTGTTTAGTATTACTGAAGCTCAGGTCAGGTCAAATGCATCCTGGCCGTTCTGACAGAGGTCGCATTTGAAAAAGATCAGATACGAATCAGATTTAGGACCACAGGCTCTTCTCAAGATGCTTCCTAATTACCTTTTCATGTTTTGTCTGGTAGTGTCTCTTAATATTGAACAATTTAAAGTCTGCCACAGTCTCCTGGCACATTAGGCAAATACAATTATTAAAAATTTCAGTGCAAAAATAATCCAATTTCCACTTTTCTTTGAAATGGCGTCCTTCGTTGTTAACTTTCATCTTGTTTGTATTTGCAATTTCAGAAGAAAATTGATGGGTCTGCTTCCCTCTGCTGGCAAATTATATACTTTTTGGTATGGGTCTTCTGTAGATAATAATTTATTTAATCAGAGACTGTGGGCCAGTATAAAATCGGAACATGTGCTACATTTGGCCCCCGGGCCAGACTTTGGATACGCCTGTATTAACACAAACTGAATCTATGACAATGGAAACTTCTAACGGAATCTAACCTGCATCGCATTTAGGGATATCTCATGATCAAATTCCAGCTCAATGTAATGGGTTATAGATCCAAAGAGTTTGAAGAAACCATATTGTTCTATTTATCATTACCAGAGTTTTCTGAAGTAAAAAGGAAAAAATAAAAAATCTAACTCAAAGAGAAATGTTTCACATACCCGCTTGAGTAGAGAGGAGTTTGGTGATCAGGAATATTGGGCATGGTGTAGTACTTGATGATTATGGCTACAGTCAGGTAGGTTGCAGCCAGAGTCCCCAGAACACTATGATGGGATACAGATAAACAGTTCTAGACAGCCAGCACTCAGCATATATATATATATATATATATATATATATATATATATATATATATATATATATATATATATATATATATATATATATATATATATATATATATATATATATATATATATATATATATATATATATATATATATATATACATATATATATATATATATATATATATACACATATATATATATATATATATATATATATATATATATATATATATACACTATATTGCCAAAAGTATTTGCTCACCCATCCAAATTATTGGAATCAGGTGTTCCAATCACTTCCATGGCCACAGGTGTATAAATTCAAGCACCTAGGCATGCAGACTGTTTTTACAAACATTTGTGAAAGAATGGGTCGCTCTCAGGAGCTCAGTGAATTCCAGCGTGGAACTGTGATAGGATGCCACCTGTGCAACAAATCCAGTCGTGAAATTTCCTCGCTCCTAAATATTCCACAGTCAACTGTCAGCTGTATTATAAGAAAATGGAAGTGTTTGGGAACGACAGCAACTCAGCCACGAAGTGGTAGGCCACGTAAACTGACGGAGCGGGGTCAGCGGATGCTGACGCGCATAGTGCGAAGAGGTCGCCAACTTTCTGCAGAGTCAATCACTACAGACCTCCAAACTTCATGTGGCCTTCAGATTAGCTCAAGAACAGTGCGCAGAGAGCTTCATGGAATGGGTTTCCATGGTCGAGCAGCTGCATCCAAGCCATACATCACCAAGTGCAATGCAAAGCGTCGGATGCGGTGGTGTAAAGCACGCCGCCACTGGACTCTAGAGCAGTGGAGACGCGTTCTCTGGAGTGACGAATCGCGCTTCTCCATCTGGCAATCTGATGGACGGGTCTGGGTTTGGCGGTTGCCAGGAGAACGGTACTTGTCTGACTGCATTGTGCCAAGTGTAAAGTTTGGTGGAGGGGGGATTATGGTGTGGGGTTGTTTTTCAGGAGCTGGGCTTGGCCCCTTAGTTCCAGTGAAAGGAACTCTGAATGCTTCAGCATACCAAGACATTTTGGACAATTCCATGCTCCCAACTTTGTGGGAACAGTTTGGAGCTGGCCCCTTCCTCTTCCAACATGACTGTGCACCAGTGCACAAAGCAAGGTCCATAAAGACATGGATGACAGAGTCTGGTGTGGATGAACTTGACTGGCCTGCACAGAGTCCTGACCTCAACCCGATAGAACACCTTTGGGATGAATTAGAGCGGAGACTGAGAGCCAGGCCTTCTCGTCCAACATCAGTGTGCGACCTCACAAATGCGCTTCTGGAAGAATGGTCAAAAATTCCCATAAACACACTCCTAAACCTTGTGGACAGCCTTCCCAGAAGAGTTGAAGCTGTTCTAGCTGCAAAGGGTGGACCGACGTCATATTGAACCCTATGGATTAGGAACGGGATGTCACTTAAGCTCATATGTGAGTCAAGGCAGGTGAGCAAATACTTTTGGCAATATAGTGTATATATATATATATATATATATATATATATCTATATATATACACATATATATATATATACACATATATATATATACACATATATATATAAATAAATAAAAGAAAGATTAGTTGTGCTGATGTCTGTAAATACTAAATGTTAACCAGTCAGTGAAGAGCTTTGGTTTCTGTTTTACAAAAGACATTTATTCTTTACAAAAGAAGATAGTTATTATAAAATAAGATGTGTTAATTACACAACCTTGTGTATTTCTGGATGCTTATTGCCTTGGAGATGGAAAGAGGCGTGATGAGAAAGACGCAGAGCAGAACCAGGGCAAATTGGTGGTCAGTATAAAAGTGATAGGGCATCTCAGATTTGGGCGTAGTGGTCACCAACTCATATAGAGTGTCGCACACTAAAGGACAGAAACAAGAACATAGAAATAAACATTTCAGAGGCATGTGTTCATCTTCTCCATTACACGAAAAAAAACATTAGCCTTGATAGTTTGAGACAAAGTATACATTTTCTCATCTTAATTTGAAATTTCTCTAATGCTATTATTCATTGTGCCTGGGTAACTTTAGGCATAAGATATACGATAGATATAAGATAGACCTAGGCTCTCTACATGGAGTTTGCATGTTCTCATCCATGCATGTGTGGGTTCCTTTTGGGTACTTTAGCTTCCTGTCATAGGATGCTGGACATGGGCACCAGCCCCCAGTGACCCTAGTGGACAAACAGGTAGAAGATGGATAGATATCTGGTTGGCTTGAAGGATAAAGGCTAAATTTCACTGTGTGCAATTAATTTGTGTAATAAGACAAAATATTTATTTAACTTTTATGACATATTTTTTTAATACATGCAGAGCTTTGACTTACTAAATATTATTAGAAGATAGTAGTGAAACACACTAAAAAAGCCTATATTGGCCATTAAAATCACTGATATTGACATATTTATATCAAAATTATAGATAAGATTGGCCCAAAAAAAAGCTATGATGAAATACATGTCATTAGATTGTTGAATTTTCCTGACATCCACGAGGGGAAGTCAAAGAGCAATGCTGAGAAGCCTTCACTCAGAGGGAAAGAGCTTATAGGACCCTTTCCATTATTAAAAGGAGAAAAGTTTAAATATAACAGCACTGGGAGACAAGAGTTGTTTTTCTTTAATTCAACAAGGAGCAATGATATTTCTTTTTTAAGAAAAGAAGAATATTTTCAAAAAACATTTAAGGTAATGTAAAACATTCCAGCTAAATTACATGTAATATAACATATAAAAGGCAGCATACAACTTTAAATGGTCCTGAGCAATAGCTGGAGCAGAAGAGTCTAATAAAAACCTATATTTTCCCTGTGGTTTGTTTTTTAATTTGAAAATGTAGTTCCTTTTTGTCTAACAATGCCAATAATTCTCCACAAAGAGTAAGAATATTTTTTTCTCCACGTTTTCCTACTTCTAGTGAAACAAATGCTGGGTGACGGTACCACAAAAGGTTAGAATGCAAAATTACTCATAAAGTGTTTATTAGAAGTGACTCACACTTTTCTAGCTGATCATTCACTATGATCAGGAAGGCCACAGAGATCATAAAAAGGCTGAGGACAAAGCAGATCTCACACAGCTGACCAATGGCATTACCACACAGCTCCTTCACCACAGCCTGATAGGTGAGCTGGCCACTGATGGATGAAGAATAGCCCAGAATGATCAGACCACTGATCAAGAACACGAGAGAGATCTGAGGGCATACAGAGACGCAGAAATGGCATGAATTATTTTTGAGGCATTATTTTTTTCACTTGAAAGCAGAATACAAAAGTCACAACCACAATTATTTTAATAAGGAGAATTTCTTAATAAGGTGTGCAATGCCTGCAACATTATTAAACATGATTGGTCTGGTGGTAGGTGAAGGTTGGTTTGAGGTAATGCTAGCCTCATTTGGCAGGAGCATTTAAGCAGCTCGTGGAGGATGAAAATGAACAGCCAATACCAGGCCTCTTCTGTCCTTAATCCAAAAGCCCATCTCTGGTACATCATCTTTAGGTCTATCAACACCATCAGGTTGGAGTTTTTTCTGAAGAGATCAGATGCATTTTGCAAATGTTTCTTTAAGCAACTTAGCTTAAGATTCCTCCATGGGTCCCCTTTCATTACGCCGTTTTGAAACTTGTTGCTGATAACGGATCACAGAACTTATATAATTGAACCCTTTGTAGGTTCACTACAAAGAGAGGACGGATGTTTCTGAAATCACCTCAGTTCATCTCAAAGAGGTCAAAACAGGGACACTTTGGTAACCATTCAGTATCTTGTTTGTGCTTCTTCCACTGTAAGGAAAACTGCTTGCAGTATTCCTGATCAATTTCATTGATTTCTAACAGAGTCACACCTGTTTTGAAATCAGCTGTTGTTAAAGTCCGATATTCCAATACTCAACATAGATTTTTTTTTTTAAGGCTTGAGTCACTCCAACAGGTTTCCTAACTATCCTAATCTGTTGGGAGATAAAATAAGTTGTGCATGACAAAATAGCTTAAAAACACTGCTTACAATAATAATAACGATTAAAACCTGCTTTAAAGAACACTTCAATGGGAGATTATCCAGTGCTTTGTCTGCTGAAACAAAGAAGACAAACAATTAGCCAACAACTTTGGTCAATTGTCTGACTTCCTGGTCCCAGAATAAATAAATAAAAACATTTTTGAAAACATTAGATCAATGAATGCCAACTGTTGAATGGGCAACCTATGCAGGATTTAAAATGCTGAGTACAAATAATCTACTTGTCACATAGCCTTATGAAACTGCAAAAAATCTACTGTCATGTAAAATATTTAAAGCATTAACATAAGATGAGAGCAGTATTAATTTAATCCCTAATAGAGATAAACTGTTCAAGCACATTTTAGGTTTTCAACCCTAATCTGCACTTTAATCTCTAAATGTTATGTGACTGACAAAAAAAATTGAATTGTCTCTGAAGTTTAACAATCAGATCTGATGTGTTTTTTATTATTATTATTATCCTTTTTTTTTTTTTTTTTTTTAAGTATTTTTAAACGAGAGGTTCTCACCAGCTCCACAGTGACCGCGCTATGGACGCCCCCTGCTCTGTCAAACGCCCAGGGAAAGTTCAGTAACCCGGCGCCCAAAGCAGATTTCAGCATGATAAAGACGGCCCCCATGGAGCCGAGCCGGGGCCCCACATCCGGAGGCTGCTTGGAAGAGGCTGAAGCCAACAGACTGATACTCTCCCTTGCCAACTCTTCCATGCTCGGGCGGCAGAAGATTTGAAGCGTGTTTTGGTGACTGACAGCGGGTCTGACCGGCCGGGGTGGGGGGTAGGGGGGGGCTGAGCTTGGTGCGCTTGGATGGTGCGTTCGTATGGCAGGCCGTTTTGACATTTATCAGAAGCGCAGTCCTTTTCATTGTTCCATTTGTTGATCTCTAAAATAAGATTATCAGGTAGTCAGAAATGTACATATAGATATCCTAAAATATATTTTTGCTAGCAAAAATTTGATTTCAGGCTGCCAAAAATATAATTGTACTAGTAAGAACAATCAAATACCTAGAAATCTTTACAAATTTGAATAGGCCCTTTTGACATTTATTAGCTTGAATGAATATATATTTAAGATGTCTGCAAATGCATTTCTCCCTAGTCAAAATTAGCATTTCAGATATCTAAAATAACACTTTTCCCATCTAAAATATATATTTCAGATATCTGAAATGTAATTCTTACTAGTAGGCCTACAATGACGTCACATTTCCCATACATGTGTATTGGGCTTTTACTTCCACATATCTAAAATAACATTCTTCCTATCTAAAATGAATTCTGACTATAGGATGAATTCAATTTTAGACCTGCATAATAGAGTTACTGCTAGTCAAAATTACTATTTCAGATATCTAAAATGTATATTTTAGATAAGAGGAATGTTATTTTAGATAGCTGAGATGTTCATTTTCGCTAGGAAGAAATGCATTTGAGACATCTGACATCAGTCAGATTTTATGGCAGGCCATTTGATATTTATTAGCTTGACATCAGTCAAGCTAATAAATGTCAAATGGCCTGCCATATAGGGTCAATAGATACACACAGGGTCGGTCTGATGTAGGGGTGGGTATTGCCAAAGAAGTCACGATTCGATTCAAATCACGATTCACAGGCCACGATGCGATTCTATCACGATGCATCACGATACTTGAATTATTGCGATGCATTGCAATATTTTCTCCTCCATGTTTTGTTTTTGAATGACTCGGCACAGTATCCCACGGCCGGAAATGCTTGTGACACAAGGCAGCGTGCGTCAACACATTTGCAGCGACATCTACTGGACTGGAAGTTGTATTACACTTGTTTTTGGCTGATGTTCGCCAACCATTCATGCAATTTTATTTATTCATTTTTTAAAATTAATAATCGATTCTTGGCATCAAGAATCGATGCAGTAGATCACGAAAATTAGAATCACGATGCATCATGATAACGATTATTTTGCACACCCCTAGTCTGATGGCAAGACGCTGCGTTTAAGGGCTGTCCGGAAAGTTGACATTCGTTGCATACCTTTATATTAAACTGTGATGAGTCATGTTAAAGTACAGGGTCACCCTCAGAAAGTTTAGCAGGGGATGGTCAGAATGAGGCTTGATGAATCCCTAAAATTAAAACATAACAACATTTTAGGAATGAAATATTTGTTGGAAGAAATCCCTTTTATTTCTTTAAAGTCGTAGGGAAGTCATATTTAAATGTCAAATCATTCTGGCTTAAACGTGTATATAAATGTACTCTTTATCAGACATACTGTCCCAAAAGTTAGAAAATTTCTATAAAAAAAAAAAATCCTCATGCAGGCCAGTTAGTTATACCTCAGCTTGTACACCTCAATTCGGCCAATCATATATCAATTTCTATGGCCGGATTTGGAGCTTAGATGAAACTTAGAAATATATTTCAATTATTTCCTAAACAGCCACATATTCCCAACAAATTTAGATTTTAATTATTTAAAAAATACTGCAAATCTGCGTTTTTCCTCCCAAGTGACTCTGGAGTTGAGTAAAGGCTAGACATACCCAAGGGAGAACAAGGAAGGGCATAATGGCATAATGAACTAATTAATAATTAACTCTTCAAAGGAAGTCAGTTCTGACCTACTGGTCTGGAATGGCCATTTAAAGTGTGACAATGACATAATATTTGTATTACTTCTATATTATATGGGGGAGTGTTAGCCTAGTGATTAGAGCAGTGCGCTTGTGCTCTGAGAAGGTTGCAAGTATCCAGTTCGATTCCCTTAGCCTGCACTCTAGGTTCCTAAGCAAAACCCCTAACCCATGATTTCTCCCCAGGCACCACACAGTGGCAGGCCCACTGCTCCTCAAGGGGAGGGCTGAAGATGGAGAAGTAAATTTCTCCAGTGTGAGATCAATAAAGTTAAAAAAAATTCTAAATATAATATAGTTCTAGCTTATAATTTCATCCATAGTACATGTTCTTTAATAGATTTTGTTAGTTCTTTATTTTGATGCGTGCATGGGTTCATTGTAATGATTTAAAAATGTATTATGCATATATTTCTGCATACAGTATCACCTCAAGGCCTTTTACAGAGACAAGTCAGTCAGATGGTTATAAGTTTTTAATTGAAAGAAACCCAGATAACAACATTAACTAATTAGCCACTGATTTTGCAGGTTCCACTGCCCCTAGTTGATAATGCAGGGACTGTAGACATTTGCCTGCCTTATTTTGTTGAATTTGCAGCAAACCTTTACATCGACCAAATGCATTCAACAGTGGAAAGAAAAAACTCCCTTTTGATAGAAAAAAAAAAACCTCCAGCAGAACGAGGCTGTGAATGTCCTTCATAATGGTTTTATGATAGCCCAGATTGCACTGAAATTGGCCTTCAGCTCTTTTGGATTGTTAGGTCTGGCATATCACATCTTCCTCTTCACAATCCCCAACAGATTTTCTATGGGATTAAGGTCAGTCGAGTCTGCTGCCCAATTAAAAACAGGGATACCGTGATCTCCAGGGTGCAGTTATCCTATTGCTTGTATTAGTTTTGCTACCACATTGTTTTCCTCCCTTCACCTCTCTATTAATGTGCCTCTTTAGCACTGATCTTTTGTTTTTGCCCTCCTCCTGCACATAATCAGTGGTTGTCTTTTGGACAACTGTCAAGTCAGCAGTCTCCTCCATGTTTCTGTAGCCTACAGAACTAAAGTGAGAGACCTTTAAAAACATCCCCGGTGTATCAGCTGGTTAGAGTGGCACCAGGTGACTTCAATATTGGACCATTTTTCAATATTGTAATTTCCCGAGATACAAGGACAATCCAAAGTGGCTTCCATTATATAAACAGTAAAATAAAAGTGAAATAACAGCAAGCAAAGATAAGATTTGGTGAACAAATTTTTAATGCAGAATTGGAGAGCAGAAGTAAAATAAAGCAGAATGAGGAAAAGTGCTCACAATGTCCTCCAGTAGCCTAAGCCTATAGAGGCACAGAGATAGCTCAGAAGAATCAAAGCCACTCTAACTACAGAATGGAAAGTCTTTAAGGTAGAGAAATATGATCTTTAATTAGCTTTAAACACAACCCTTCTATTTCTAAAGAAGAGATATCGTAGAGCACAATTCTGCTTTCATTGCTTTACTCTTCTTCTAGTCTGCTACTAGCCTAATTACCAAGGCCTGGTCCCCCAATGAAACTTTTCCTTTTGGAGAGAAAAAAAACAAACAAAAAATCCACAAACATCTGAGTACATGTGTGTATGTTAACTATTTCTTCTTATTTCCCACCATTCGTCACTGTTCACATAACAGCCCTACAAAAATGTATGTTTTTTTTTTTATTCCAAATTATATATTCCCCAAATCTATTTATGTAAACTTGATACCAAACAAAAAAGTCTTCATATGTGTAAAATAATACTTGGAAATTAATATTTTTCTGATTCTATCTAGTCAGATCCGGTCTTGAAAACAGGATTTTTATTTTGATTTATTTTGTATTCTTTGTCTTTACAATAAATAGAGTTTGATTCTATTCCAACATTTATGTAAGCAATGGTTTTAGATAAGGATGCAAATCAGAAAAAGTTCAGGAAAATCCTGAAACTAGCTGAACTATCTTGGTTTAATCAAATAAATAGTTTCCATTGGCAAACACACCAAAGGCACATGATGTAGATGCAGAAGATTATTTAACAAAGTATTCATTTAAGGACATGGATAAGTACACAACCAGACTGTTACCGGTAGTTTATTTTTAGTTTTATATTTTTGTCCTCAAAAGAATGTCTGACAGTTGAATAATGCACATCATATGTCACCTTAAAGGTGGAACACGTTTTGTAAGGATCTGTTTCATAACAGTTTTAGACTGTTATTCCCACTGTATTAAATTAAACTTTAATGTGACGCAGCATTCATTCATTTGAGCATTTTTAAATTTTTTATTCGGTTTGCAAAGCTTTTCAGATCTTATTCAACCAAAATCATATTAAATTCTAAGGAACGTGGAGGTATGCTGATGGAGTGTAAGATGCAGACAATACAGGAAAGCCACGTGGAGAATGTTAAACATTTCACCATGTTTCTTCCAGGTGACCTGCCTGGCCAAACTGAAAATCACCTAAATCTGGGAATGTTGCAGGAAAAGGGTTCATGTGACCTCCTCTCATGTGAATAGCTTTCCCAAATCTTGTTAATGCACCTAGCCGTTTCCGAGGTCCTTTCCCAGTTTCCCAAGGTTCAAAGATTAGCATCGGAGCGAGGCCGCCATCCAAGAAGACAGGTGACAGATTCACAGGCCGATCTGGTGATTAGACTGGGATAAAGAGCCGAAGCTGAGAGCCGGGAGCACACCCACGCACATCACCTCTGATGAAATCAACCTGCATCACTGAATCTAGCATATGATCAATTCCAACCTCAAGACTGCAGTGGATTCATCTGATCAATCTGAAATTACTTCTAGGAAATAAATGTAACTATTTCTCCTCGGCAGAGTCCAGAAAATGTGTTCCACTGACAAAGTGAAAAGGAATTTCACTTTGAAAACATAGTAAACTCTTTCATTCTGAAGTCTTTCATTCTGAAGAACTGCTGGATTTTTTTTTTATTACTTCCTTAAGACATGAATAGTGAGGAATGTGTTAATATCCAGTAAGAGGTAACTATGACAGCAATTCCTCAGCAAATCACTTTGACCCTGATAGGAATTAGATACGTCACCAGTGCATCATAGACCCTCGCTGAACCTAAATGACCTTTTTCCCCTTTGCCCTTTTTTGGTGATTAA